GTCTAAACAAGTCGTCAGTAATTAATTTCAGTAAACATTCAAACATTCATACAAATTTGCATAATGCCCACCTATGGTCTGTATCGGCTGCCCGTGAACAACGTCTACTTTGACCCTCAAACACTGAAGCTGGTTTGTGTTGTGTAGATGTTGAGTTTAATGTTTAATATTTAATATGTGTCTCCAGCTAACCGCCTTACTCACGTTATTACTGTCTTACTGAAATAGTTCTGATCAGATGTGGACCCACTATTACCTAAAACTGTCTATTAATGCAGATTGTCGGTTGTTTTTGAGTAATGATAAAGGATGGAGCAATATTTGTTTTACAAACTTTAATGTTACATCAGTCATCTCATAATGTGCGACAAACGTAAAGTAAAAACCATCACTGAGAAATGTCCTGCTTAAGTAGGCGGGTTGACCGGGTTTGATGGAGGTTCGGGTTGAATAACTAGTTCTTCAAATGTTTCATCATCAGACTCACGCTCAAATTGATAATCGACACCAACGTTACTGTCCTTACAGTATGTACAATCTCTGAGGATTTAGCAGTAGACCAATCACAACAGACTGGGTAATCTGACCAATCAGAGTAGAGCAGGCTCACAGAAGAGAGGGGGTTTAGAGAGGCTGAATCTTTGGGCGAGTCGTTTTCGAGTCTTTGAGAAATTAGGTGATGTGCATGTATATTATGAGAATTATTATTATTTTTTTTTTTTTTATGCTTGTAATCCTGTTATAGGAGACCCCCAGAACAAAATTAGGAACCTTTAAAATAGCATAATACATACAAGCTATACCGTTTATATTGTAGTATTTGTATTAAAACTTTTTTTTTTGCACACTGTAATACAAAAACAAAATAAATATTTTCAAGGTATCTAGATTTTTTTTTAACTATTTAACTTCTTCAACTATTTCTATTGGTTTAGGATTTTAAACCCAACCATCTTCTTTTTGTCAAAAGTTTTGATTGCAAAGTTTGTTTGTGCAACTTAATTTAAAATAAATGACACCTGCTTTGGGACTTTGTTATTTAATGCAATGACATTCAAGCATTAAATGTTCAAATACTTTTTAGTTCTGTATATTTCCAACATTATCTTGTGTTTGAAGGACGCCGAATATTAAAGTAGCTGGAACATTAACGTGGTCAGAATATAAATGACAGTACAGCATGAATTGCATTAGTGTTTTGATATACTCAGCACCCTCAAATCTACTGCAGATGTAATGCTTTTATTAAATGGCATGTTTTTCTCATTTTAAAAATAATGAGAAAAGCAGCTGGGTGGGATTTTCTCTGCGTAAACCGTTAACATGTATAATGTTTGTTTTGTGGCTATACTTTCAAAAAGGTCTGTAATTTAACATGTATTCCTGGTAGGGGTGTGCGCTATTGACAAAACAAATATATATATATTAAAATTTTCTGGGATTTGTCAATAATGTTGATTATATTTTGCTGAGTGTGTTTTTGTGCTGGTGGTCAGTTTTGTGGTCAGTTCCCAGCAGTGACAGAAATGAACTTTTTCATTAAGGGTTGATATTTGCCACCTGTCACACGCTGGCTTGACTTGATAATCCATAACAATAAGGCTTTACGCAGATGAAGGATGAAATAACATGTAATAAACTAGTAACCAAACAGAGATACATATCAGCACAAAACGTTAACATAAGACCAAGAACAGATGAAGACTGAGGGTATAAATACACTAGATGACAAGGGGCTAAATGAAGGGTGATTAGTTGACATAGTAACAAACACAGGTAACTATGGAAACAAACTTCTGGGATGCCCCTTTTCCACTGGCACGGTTCCGGTGCGTGTTCCCGGCATTTTTGTTCACTTTTACAAACTGCTTTGATCTTAGCTTGCATTAAGCCCGAAGCATTCATTCAAAAAACAAACTGGCAAAGGTCATAATTTCCACCGAGAGAAGTTTTGCTGCTGTGTGGATGAAGGTTACTACAGCGGCACTTCATTGTGAGAGTTTGCAGGTTAGAGAAGGTCTGCTAGCTTCTGCTTCATCACACAGATTTGCAGAGGGTACATTTCTGAGGGTAAAATGAGTTTCACTTTTCCCACAATTCCCCTTTGATTTGGAGCTATGAGCCCACAGACACATTTAGCCTAGTTTTGCTGAGACCACCGTAAACTTTAAGCTAAATTATAGTCTCGCTTTAGCTCATGGCCTGAGAGCTGTAGTAGCTTATAAATGTTTACACCAGAATGATAACTGTCTTCAATCAGAAGCTCATCGTACTAACATATTCTAGCATAAATGATTGTTTTTAATGAGATTCTTAATTATAATTAACCACATATTTCACACTAAAACATCGATCGACACTAAGCTAAAGAGCCCCTAATGAGAGTTTGATGTCAAATATGTTTATCCGGCCTGTAGCAGCTCCACTTTGGGACAGGGCTGAGTTTGCAATCGGATTTTGAAAAGCCCTTAAAATGCAGCAGCAGTCGCCAATGTTGTGTGTTATAGGAGACCTCCAGAACAAAATTAGGAACCTTTAAAATAGCATAATACAAACAAGCTATACCGTTTATATTGTAGTATTTGTATTCACTTTTTTTTTGCACACTGTAATACATAAACAAAATAAATATTGCAGCAGCCATCGCTAATGTTGTGTGAGATTCGCCGTCTGTCGGAGAGATGAACATTTCTTGCAGTCAGTGTTTAGCAAATGTATGTACTTTTCTATGTGTGGAATAAAAAAAAAAAGACTTTATGAAATGATGTTTGCTGCTTGTCTTAGATGTGTCATATTCCCAAATGTTTAAGAGAAGACTAGCAGAAAAATGCTTCAAGTCACCTTTGTTTCTATAGCGCTTTAGACAATACAGATTGTTTCAAAGCAGCTTTACAGGAAAATAAGGATTCAATGATGCAAACAGAGTTCAATTCTACTCTAAAACAGCTCTAAAAATAAAACAGTGTCATTGATCAGCTGAGGTCAGTTCAGTTCAATAAAGGTTGTAAAAGCAGAAAACAGTGATGTCAGCATCCAGCTCATTTCAGTTTTCATCCAATATTGTCAGTACAGTTAAATCAATAATATTGCAGAATATTAAGCAAGACTGGACTGGGTTTAAGAAGTGGCCCTGGACTTTCTGGCACAGAGCGGCCCACGGTACCCAGTCCGCAACACACCAAACATAACACAACGACTCATTTTGTGCTGAGCAATTTTTAACACTACTTTACAATTAAATAAAGAAATATAAATAATATTTACAATTTTTGATTGTAAATTTTGATTATAATAAATTAATTAATAAAAAAATAAATGCAATCAGAATAATAAGACATTATATTGTTGTTTCCAATCAAATGAAATCAGACAAAATCCATCTTGGCACTGCAGAAGTGGCACAGATGCTGTAATATAAATATAGGCTATTGAATATAGAAATATGAAATTTTAGAAAATAAATTAAATGATACTTTAAACATTAAACAAAACTGCCAGTAGGTGACAACAAGTGAGTCATTGGTTAATTCATTAATAATTCAACCGATTTGTTCAAAATGGCTGACTCATTCAGAAACGAAGCTTCGACTATCTTTACGAATGGGGAAATCAGACTCTGTTGATCAGAGACACACACATTCTGCTGAGACTGTCTGGAGCAAAACACTCAATATTGACAATATTGTGTCTAAAATGTACATCATGTAATATTACCTTAAACTTAGCATATGTTTTAATTAATTAACTATTTTTTTATTATGGATAAAGTATACAGTAGTGATGATCTTAAAAGGAGGACAAATGAGCATCCAGCTCAAGGCTGTGCCGGTTGACGGACATGGTATTTTAAAATCGGACTGTCCGACCTGAAACCGGACAGATGGCCACCCTATTTATCATTTTTATTTTGAACAGTTGGCTAATATTGCTGTATATAGCCTTATCATGTTCAGGTCCTTGCATCCTACCTCGCATCCGCGTTAAAAAGCGCCATGCTGAATCTCTGCTTGGACTCGGCTTCTGTGAACAGTAAACCCATCATTCTTTGATTTGATTGGCCATCTCAAACATTTTGACATTGACGAGCACTGTTAGACTGCTGCGATGAGTTAGAGCAAGCTAAATGGATTACTCATTTAAAGTCATAATGGCCACGAGAGCATTCACCTTGGCCGACGGAATACGTAAATGCCTTTCATTCTTTATATTTTTACGTATAGCAACGGGGCGGCCTACATTGTCCAGCGGCCCACCGCTAAAACTCCCAGTGCTCCAGATGGCCAGTCCGCCCATATTGTCCCCAACTAAGCAAGCCAGATGTGACATTGCTGACAGAAATGGAGAAGAAAAAAAACATGGGAGAAAAAGGCTTAGTATCAGCATAGGAATATCAATGCGGCACCTTAATGTATAAAGAGTCTGGGCAAGTACAACATGCTCCAGATACAGATAAATGCATTTAGTTTAGCATTCTTTTATCTTGCACTTTTGCAGCTTTGTATCTATTGTAAAACTGTAGTTCCTGGTAAAGTAATTTCACTGTTAAGTGGTTGTTTGAGAAGCTTGGAAGCAACATTGCAAACACCAAAATATTCAAATAGATCTGGGTGTTCATTTAACCCATTGGTAAATTTAATCTGTGCTTCCCAGCTCCTGAAAAGAAGCAGGCGCCACTGACTTGCGCTTCAGAGCCAAAAAATACCATATGAAAAGAGCAGGAGAATCAAACCTGGGTTTGGCCCAAGCAGTTGAACTGAAGGCCTCCACAGACAGTCCATTTACTATACAGCTTTTCATTAAAAACATCAGCAAAAACATCTGTCCGGACACTTATCTGAGTTTCAGACCAGTCGTGTTTTTATAAGTCATCATCTCTCTTTTCACACTGTCCCTTATATCATAAAGCTATTTTCTTCTTTCTGAAGGTCATGAAGGTAGTATTAAAGCTTGACTTGTGTCTGTCTGAGTATTTTAAATGCTGTCATTGTGTGTTTCTGTAGGACGATTACTTCAGAACCTGGAACCCCAACAAAGCACAAGACCAAGGTAAGGACATTCAGCAGACACTTGTTTGTGTTTCTTCTTCATAACCATTTTCTCTGTTGCTTTTATCCATTTATACACCTGACCCTGGAGTCTCGCCTCTATCTCTCTCTCATAACTCTGCTTTCTTATTCTTTTTTTTTACCTGTGGTATCTCTACACCCAGATTAATCATAAAAAAAAAAAACTCCAATCCAGTGCTGGAATCTTCATTTCACTGTATCGATCCTCATCTCTGCTCCAGACATTAATCAATACAGAGAGCCAGAAACACACACATAGCTAAATGAAGACGTATCATAGACTTGTTCTTATATAAAGCTGATTATAATTAATAAAACTTGTTGCATTTTTGAATTATAAAAAATGTATGAATTATTTCATTTTTAGTTTTTCCAATTGAGGGTGTTCCACAAGGTTTTATCAGATTTAGCTCTTTTCTGGAGGCTAGAGACAAATTTTCCCTCAAATTATAGCAAAGTAAACACGCGCACACAAACAGCAATGATGCAAATCTAACACATTTGTTTTAGAAAGATTTTCCTGAATCATCAGGGAAATCAAAGAAGAATTGTTTTTTTAGTAGTGGTCAGATTCTGAATATATTGAAAACTGTATATAAAATATATTAAAACTTCTACATGTAGTGATAATTGACATTGTTTTCACCTCATTTTAAAGTATTCTGTCAAGCGTCAGAAGGTGCAATCATGAGTTTGAATGACGCAGAGGACTAGTAGCTGCAACCACGATATCCAAATACATTTTTAGTTTAGTATTTTTTTTTACAACAAGGTATATAACAGGATATTTGCATGTTTGAAGTAATGCTATGTAAGACATTTTTAGACTTTTTAATGCATGTTTAAAAAGAGTTTAGCCTTATATTTCGAGAAGTGAATTTAAAACATTTTGCAACTTAGTAAAGGGTTTTTGGATGCCCTTAAGCAAGGCGTCTTTAGGATTCACAGATGAACATCTGTAGAGGGGCATTTCCATCTGAGACTGTGCTGGTGAGGCCGTCACGAACACACACAACGTTTGTGCTCTGCAGGAAATCATTTCTCTGATGAGTCACATATTTACTATATGAGTTTCACTAGAATGACTGTACAGTACTAATATCATTTAAACAACCTGTCTCAATACAGCAATACAGTCTATTTTGCTCACCAAGGCTGCATTTATTTGATCAAAAATACAGTAAATATGTTAATATTGTGAAATATTATTACAATTTAAAATAAAAAGTTTTATATTTGAATGTTGTCAAATATAATTTCAGTGATTAAAGCTAAATTTTCAGCATCATTAAAAAAACAACAACAAAAAAAACGTGAAACTGAAAACCATGATAAATTTTTTGATGCATAGAAAGTTCAAAAGAACTCCCTTAATTTGAAATAGGAATCTTTTGCAACATTATAAATGTCTTTATTGTCACTATTGATCAATTTAATGTGTCCTTGCTGAATACACATTCCAGTGAAAAATCCAGTGTACGATATTTAAGCCTTTTCGGAATGCCACTTTTCCGGTGAAGAAAAAATGTGTCAGAACTAATTGTCCAGTACAGCACATTTTTGCTGGTGTAGTAAATGATTTGGGTATTTCAGGCATGTAGACGATTTGCATGTGTCAAGGTCGTGGGTTAGACACATACTGATTAAAATGTAAAACTTTAATACTCTGCCAGTCGCTTTGAATAAGAGCATCTGCCAAATGAATAAATGTGTATATAAAAAGAGATAAATTAGTCTGAAGAAAAAAAAAATCCCAGGACCTCTTGTTGTGAAGAAATCCTTCATGGATTCAGATGCTTGTGCTAAAACCGTAATAAAGGGTCACTTTCTTAAACAGGGTGTTAGATATGAATTTAGCATCCGCACTGCTGAGCTCTCCTGTTAACGATTATGACGAACCGCCATGAATAACCAATCAAGATCAATTGTTTTTACAGAAACACCAATAGAGACCAGCAGACAGATGCATGCATGACCACACCATATGGAGAGTGAGAGAATAAGTGTGTGTGTGTGTGTGTGTGTGTGTGTGTGTGTGTGTGTGTGTGTGTGTGTGTGTGTGTGTGTGTGTGTGTGTGTGTGTGTGTGCATTTACCATCTGCACAAAAACGCATGGGAATCACTCAGCCACAGCCGTTCGTTGCTCTGGTTGGTTGTAGCGCTGTCCTATTGCGTGCCGAGGGATATTGAAAGACAACCGTTTATCCCGCCCCTCGGATTGAGGTATGCCAATTGTGAGTTCCCAGACCTAACATCTTGATGTAGGTCTGGCTTGCCAGGCTAACAAACCATCATTTCTGTAACTAATCCTGCACCTCTCACTAGCAAACCTCTTCTGAGCCGCACACCTCATCTCGGTAAATAGCTCCACTCCAAAACCTAGTGAGCTGTCTCGCTGTCTACTGACTATATAAGTTACCTTCTTACACACCCTAATAAATGACTGACAGCCACATGTGCAAGTGAGACTTACCGCTCGTAGAACCATGAAAGGGAAAAAAGTTAAACACAAGGCAGCAATAGAAATTCAGCTAAAAGCTAATTGCATTTTTGACAGAGCCACTGTCTCTTGTTGTACTCTGAAATGAGCTGGACCAGCCTAACAAATGCAGGGTTTATTGCGATTTAAGCTGTTTTAAGATACCACTGTTCTCTAAAAAGAAATTCAGGGGACCCATTACCACAACTTTAATACTAAAGTTTTTGATTCATTTGATTTATAAATGTATTGATTTAACTTAACCTTGCAAACATTTTTTTGATAATTTCAGTTGTCAGTGCTAATCATTACATCAACTTAATATTGTGTGTAACAACAAGTTGTAATTCCCCGCATGCTTTGCACAGGACTGTTAAGAGGGTAAATGTTGAAATGAAGTGTTATTGTTTGTGTTTAGTGAAGGGAAAGACCTGCTCCTGTTTAATGCTGTTATGTTTGACATTTAAAAGAGTTTTTAATATGTTGAAGTTTTTGTGGTTACCATTTGCTCGTGGTCAGGATGCGTGTGGCTACATGAAGATATACACTACATTGAGTTTATGATCAGTTATATCTTGTTCATTAAGTTTACATGCTAAAAGTCACATTTAGCATGTGCTAAGCTAGCTGTTGATTTGAACTGAAATAGATATATTAATTGGTTCCAGGGCCACAACTCAATTGATATTAGAACAACTTAATATTTTTGAGTAGTCAACTTAAAAACGATAATTTATTAAGTTCTTCTAACTCAGTGTAATTTGTTGGTCAAATATCATTAGAAGTGGTCATAACTAAAAAAGACTGATGCAAACTGTTGCATTATTTTTTGTTGAGCCAAACTTCATTTATTTATTTTTAGCATGTGTGGTCAGATATTATTGGTTTGTTATATGTCGTTTGATATGTAATCTTGACAAGGTTTTTTTTGGAGATTTCGTTCTCTCCTCTTTCACGCCATAATATCCAAATGAGTTTGAGGTTGCATAAACAGCGTAAAATACACAACACATGCAAATACTGGGTGAAATAGTCAATTTTTAATTAAATTAAGGCAAGACACTACAGGTAAACAAGTTTTAATTAATAGAGTTCACCTTAGTTTTAATTAATAGATGTCACCTTACTTTGATTAATTACAGTACATTCAGGTAACTGTTTTGAATTACAAGTTTTGTGAAATGCTATGTTTAAATATGCAAATTAGGAATTATCTAATACAATTTGCATACATTTCTAGAACAGAAATATGAAAATTGGATAAAGCCAGGTTTGTTTCATTTTGTTGATATATTTGAGTCACACTTGGTTTTTACAGAAGGGATTTTGGATTTCTCTTTTTATCACTCCTTAATCCTGTCAATTGACAAAAAAATTACCATGTTTTTAGGATTAAAAGGAATAAAAGAAATATGAAGATGACAACAAGAAGTGTTAAAAGGTAGCTTCTTTTTCCCAGATTTCAGCATGGCATGCATCCTTTGCATGCCATGCTGAAATCTGGGAAAAGAAGCTACCTTTTAAAACTTTCTGTTGTCATCTTCATGTTGGGCCTAAAACGCTGCCTATGTAGACAGATCACTAGGTTTCGGATGTGTGTTATTTTACAGCTGTGTGTGTTACCGTACCCGGTCCCAACTTGAGAATGGTATTTTTTTCACATTGATCTCCTAAATCACAGTTTATTGATTCACTTCTGCTGAATTTTCATTAGGGAAGAGAGACAAACAATTTAGAGCTGCACTTCTTATAAACACCACTGATGCAAACACACTCGCACGGCGACACACACAACGTTAAACTCTCTCTTGACCGTGTAAGCAGTGTGGCTGAGCCTGACTAATTTAATTAGCCTCAGTCTGTAATTATTCACTTTAAAGAGAAATGAGGGTTATGATCTTGTCCATTACAGACATGACAAGAGATTTAAGGAGCTCAGAGAATATTGTGTGTGTGCAACATTGTCTTTGCCGTAATCTGTTATTGTGGCACTGCATGCGCTCTCAGTGAATTTAATTGCGTGTGCAGGCCTCATTACAGCCTCGTTATGGGGAAATTCTCTTTGAATGCTTCATTTGCATTTGTATGGTTTTGGTGTTGAGTCAGCGTTTCAGCGCCAAACTGCAGTGGCAGCAAACACGGCCGCACAGGGACGGCAACACAACAATCTGCCCTTTAAACTGCCTGCAATTTATGCACAGGGACAATACGGCTTTATCTGGAGCTGGAGACCGGATCCATTTAACTGGCAAAAAAAAACACTCTCCTGTAGGTTTAAAGAGAGGGAAAAGGAAAAGAAGTAGAGGAAGAGGAACTATATTTCTGGCCAACTCAAATATGAAACAGCCACTGAAAAATGTGGATGGAATATTTTAATTTTTAATGCAATAAAGGGTGTGTGTGTGTGTGTGGATGAAAAATGGTCATGATTGTCCACATGGTTTAGGGATGCACAAAATATTTAAATGACAAGATTAGTTTACACTGTTTTCTTTAACTTT